AACACCAGCTTTCTTTCTGTGAGAAAAAATATTTTTTCCTTCATATATTTCAGTAAAACATTGGATGATTTTATATTTTTATTAAATATTAAAACAATAATTCTCTGAGAGGAAAAGCTAAAAATTTCTTAAGATAACCCAGATTTTTAAGGAAGCTTTGAATAATAGACGGAGCCCACTGACGCCTAGTGTTTGATGTCCCCATCATTGTTGAGCCTGTCAGCAATCATCCAATGAGAGCAACAAGGCACAAAGAGGACCTGTCTTAGATGTGTGTGAGTATAAATGAAGGGCAATGAGAGAAGGTTCAAGGGCCCCTGGACTTATTGCAGGATAACAGCTGGACTGGAATTCAGCCATCTCCTTTCCCTTCTTCCTAGTGTATCTCTTTGTACATAGTAAGCACTTAATAAATGTTTTTTCATTCATTCATCTCAGGGGGCATAGCAATTCAGGGTGAAAAGCTAGGTAATGATGCTATCTCTCCTTTCTAGGGTAAGAGGATCTATTTCCTCCCTACTATATTCCAGCTCACTGGGAGGACACCCAGAGAACCTACCATCCCACTGGGAGCTAAGTGGGCCGAAGCTTCATCTCACACACTTTGTAGGAGTAGTTGTCCCTGTGACCTGTCTTCCAGTTGATTCTGTCAGCTGGGCTCTCATGGGGCCCTCTCAGGTACTGACCATTGAGGTTGGACAAGTGGCAATCATTGTACCACCAGGCCCCCTGGTAGGTCATGGCACAGTTGCCCTTATACGCATCATTGTCCCGGTCTCTGGTAGTGAAGCCAAAGTGGTTGTGATATATCAGGGAGTCACCTACAGGAAGCCATTGTTGGCAAATACAGATAGGTCATTTCCCAATGTGAGTAACATGTGGTACAGTTATCCCTTCCACATCGCAGGGGTTTAGGGATGTGACATCCCCACCCCATCTGGAAAATCTGAGTAAAAGTTTTTGGGCCTCCTTTTGTCCCAGAGAAGAAGTCTGAGTTTTTTTTTTCTTTTTTCTTTTTTTATGGGATGTTTACAGCACTTATTGTAAAATTTGGGTTAAGTATTTAGTCATAGGTTATATCATATAATACCATACATATTTTATGCATTTCTGAGTTTATAAACTTTTTCTGCATCATCTGCTGGCCTTCACGTGTCATCTGCAACTTCCACAAAACTCCCCAAAAATTGCCATTTAATTTCTTATGCCAGCCTGCAATACATCACAACTGTGATGGGGAAAATCCTAGAGATGGTTTTCCCAGGGAAGAAGGAGGATGAGGAATAAAGGTGGATAAAGTCAATGGATCACTGACCCTTCCTGAGGAGTTTGGGGAAGGGATTCTGATGGCTCTGCTGAGTTATGAAAATGTCCACACCCTTCTGAGCCCCTTAGAGAGTACAATGTGTTATATAGCCCCACATGAAATCAGGAAACAGAACTTTGCAATCATAGGTAGTTAAAAAAGACCCTCGGACTAGGAATCATGATACCTGTGCTTTGACATCAAATTTCCTATTCACCAGCCTTGTGTCAGCAAGGCTCATGATCTCCCTAGGCTTTCATAGTCTCATTTGTAAAATGGGCACAATAAACATGCCCTACAAACTCCACAGAAATCTTGTACATACAATTGTGGGTACCTCTCTAACCCACCCACTATATTTTATTTTGTAGAAGGTAAGACCCTTGAGCACAGGAACTGTCTTTTGTTCTTGTTTGCCCCATGCTTGAGAGGCAACGTGGCATAGTTGATAGCAAACTGACCTCTAAGCAAGGACTACCTGGGTTGATATCTTCCCTCTGATACATGTTACCCTGAACAAGTCACTTAACCTAGCTAGGTGACTCTCTTAAGACCAGAAGTTTCAGAGAAGGTGCTGACCTGCATTGCTGGGAGTTTCATCATCCAGGAGCTCCCTGTGTCAATGAAACCATGGGTCCAATCTCCATTCCTATACTACATCTCACATTGGAAGTGCCCTCCACCCCCATGGTGCCTCCCTCTGATTGGCTAGTTCCTCCTAGACCCTCCAATTGAAGGAGGAGGCTCAGGCCAACCATGTCTTCATTCCTCTCCAGACTCCACTAAATCTCCACTGGATTTTTCTCTACCACAGCCCCTCCACGGGTAACTCTGTGCCTTCCCCTTTTCCAGCTCCTTTGTATGTGTTTCCTCCCTCATTAGAACATGAGCTCTTTCAGAGCAGGGATTCCTTCTGCTTGTATTTGCATTCCTAGGGCTTAATGCAATGCTTGCTCCTGGTAAGTGATTAATAAATAGATTAATAAATATCTGTTGACTTGAGGACTGGCTCTGTCCTCAGTGTTCAGCACACTGCTTTGCACCTAGTAGGTGCTTAAAAAACATTTGATGAAATTAATCTTGCTCTAGAATTACTTGAGAACATTCCCAAAACTCCTATTAGACTAGACTGGGAGTGAGAAACCAGGGCCTTAAGGCCACATGTGGCCGCAGGCTCCCCACCCTTGGACTAGAAATTCCCTAAGAGCAGGAATTGTGTCTTATTTGTATTTAAATCCCCTCCAACACTTTGCTGAAACAAATTGAAAGGCATGATACATTAGGTGAAAAACTCGCTCCAAAAATTAAAAGCACTAATGAGTATTAATGGAGACATTTGACTCTGGTTAGCTGACCAGAACTGGGATAAGACATTTGTGTACTTTAAGCAGTGAAATGGTATTATCATTATAATTGTGTGATGGATTGAGTAATGAGCTTAAAGTTCAAAAACCAGGGCAGGTAGGTGGTGCAGTGGATAGAGCTCTGGCCTTGGAGTCAGGAGGGTGTGAGTTCAAATCCAGTCTCAGACACATGACACTTACTAGCTGTGTGACCCTGGGCAAGTCACTTAACCCCAATTGCCTCACCAAACAAACAAACAAACAAACAAACAAAAATAAATAAATGAAGTTCCAGAACCTTGGGTTTAAACCCTGCCTCTGATACTTACTATTTGTGTGACCCTGGGCAAGTCACTTAACTCCCTAGGACATACCTACTATGTTATATACAGGGTGGCAATTGGTGATGGTGGAAAGTCCCCAAACTGAGGAAATGGGAGATCTTTCCCATATTTACAAATTTTCACAATCATCCTCAGGGTCATTATATGTTGTGTTCCATAAGTCTCTACCATTCCTTGATTTTTCTCTCCCTTGTAGGATTATGGATCAATCCTTCACCCACCTGCATTTTCATCCACAAAGGCCCCCAGACTCAGTTTGTAGTTCTCAGTCTCCCCAGCAACCTGGAAGGACCTATACTTGGCAAAGTGGTGATTGTGGTCAAAGTCTTGGAGGTCAATTCGGAGTTCACTGTCATCTAAGTGAGAAAGTTGGACAGCACCTCATCTATCATGTCTCATCCTTCCAAGGGTTGGTGGGGGCAAAGGGAATGGACTTTAGATTACTGGGAGTAAGCACAGCGTAGCAAAAGGGAATCTTTTCCCTCCTTAGCATCTTTCTTTTACTCCTTTTGGACCATCACCCCTCACCAGACCTAGAACATTTGGAGGGTTCCTGGCTCACAGAATGGAAAACAAAGGGCAGATCTTATGTTGCAATAGAGTTGAAAACTCTAATGAGTCATTCCATATCATCAATGTCTTGCCAAATCTCAATCCCAGAACTAAGACAAGAAACTTAGGCATCTTAAATCAGATTTGGAAATTTGTATCTTGTGTATTATTGTCCATAGGATGAGAAGCATCCAGGTCTTCACTATAATAGAGATGACTACTGCCTAGGCCCCTGAAGGCAGAATTTTCTGTGGCTAAAAATACTTGCATTTATTTTTAAAAGTATTAAATTATATTCCTTGTTTTGTCTCCATACATGTTTTGGCTCAGACAGCCCACTTGCCTGGCCTCCCTTTGTCATGGCTGAGTCAGCCCCTCCACTTAAATTAGCAAGGCTAGCTATTCCCCAAAGCTCGGTCAGGACCATCTAGCTTGGCTAAGGAGTTTCCCAGAATGCAGCTGTCCCATGACTTCTCCAGGCTTCTACTGATCTGTCTTGCTGCGTGGACAACCAGGGAGGAGCCTACAGACCCAAAGTCCTCCTCATCCTCTACCCAGAAAGAGAGGAGAAACCAGGCAGCCCTATCAGAACTGCTGCTCTCCTGAGACATACACCCTGGAACCTCACCCTGCCCTGTCAACAAGTGAAGATTATCATTCCCCAGCCAAAATTCCCCCAGCCTGCTGCCAAAGCCCTTTTGTAAGCAGTCCAGGACTGGAAAAAGTTCACAGACCCATCAGCCCATCTCTGGAAAATCTGTGGAGAAATGGAAATGCCTCCTCTCCAAGCCCAAATAAGTGTTCCTGCTTCCCTCTTCCCATCTCCCTCCCAAGGACAGGATAAAAATATAAGCACCTGATACCATTAGAATGAGCTGTTCATTAGCCTCCCAAGAGCAAGGCCCGGGAACCCTATCCAACAGAACCCTCCAGTAGGGTACAATTCCCCACCCTCCAATGAGATGATTGCCTCTCTCCTCAGAGCACAGCTAGACCAGGCAGAGACATAGCTTGGATCATGCAAAGAGCGCATAGTTCACCTGGGTTCTCGAAAGTTGGTGGTTGTAACCCTAGGCCCAAGCTGGCCCTACCCACTGTGGGGCCAGGCTCAGCTGCAAGCATTGCCTCACAGTGGTCCTGGGTTCCCTTCCAGGTTCCCTTAACACAGTGACTATGGAAACTTTCTCTTCTCTCCTTCAACTCTCGGGCCCTCCTCCTCTTTTCCTTTCAGGCCAGTGTTGCTGAGATAAAAAGGCTGGCCTGGATGCTTGGATGTGGGTGGGATCAGAATTGAGACTCCAGGTCAGAACTGCAAACCTGACTCTTTTAGAAGCATCGGTTTACTGAGGGACTTCGGGAAAAAAGGGAGAGGGGGGCAGAGAGAATAAACTTCAGCAGAAGCAGCTCTCCAGGACAATAGGACAGACACACCAGATGAGCTGGGCTCATACTCACAGTCCAGCCCCCTCCATCAGTGTTCATGTCACACAGCACAGTCAGAGATTTGCAGTCAGAGAGGTAGATGGTATACCAGCCACTGAGAGTATTCCCTCTATCTAGCAGCTCCTTACAATTTCTTGCCCCTGGAGAGAAAAAGGGTTAGAAATGGAAAACCACAGGAACAAGACCACATCTTCCACATTGCCTGCCACTCCAACTTTGGGTGCCACTGGGAAGCCTCAGGCAGTAGAAAGGTTGGAGCAGAGAATGAGCAGGTATGGGGGAGCGGTACTTGTTCTCACATGCCTTTGGGTGGTGGAAGAAACAGTCTGACAGAATCTCTCAGAATCCCCTAAGTCCTGGGGAAATTTAGGCTGGTTCTTCTCTGGAAATAGTGAGGAATTGGATACAGCTGAACCTCTGACCCAGCCTTCTGGCCCTGGGCCTGAGCAGTGAGAAATGAGCAGCTGGGTCAAGTGGAGGGGTAGGAAGTCAGGAGAAGCAATCACCTGTCTTGCACAGCTGAGTGTCCAGCTCCTCACCTATACAAGGGAAAAATAATAATAATAATAATCAGGACCCTCATTCATGTTTTGCTTCTAGGCTGTGACTACATACAATACAATATAATAACAAAATATAATGCAGCAGACACTATGAACAGGGCACTGAGGAGAGGCAAAATTTTAGATAATAATAGCTAGCGTTTCTATAGTGTCTTAAGGTTTGCAAAGCACTTTAAAAATATTATTTCATCTTATCCTCACACCAACCCTGAAAAGTAGTTGCTATTATTAGTCTCATTTTACAAATGAAAAAGGTAAGGCAGATAGAGATTAAATGACTTGCCCAGCTAGTAAGTGAGGATGGATTTGAACTCAAGTCTTCCTGACTCCAGACGCAGCATTCTAATCCTCTAATTCCAGAAATGGTGCTCTATGCACTGTCCAATCTTGTATCCTGATTCCAATGTTATTTTCATACCTCCACAATAGGATTTTTACACTAATACAGATGTCAGGGCAGCTAGGACTGAAGGCAGGAAGACTCATCTTCCTGAGTTCAAATCTGGCCTCAGATACTTACTTGCTATGTGATCCTAGGCAAGTCACTTAACCCTGTTTGCTTCAGTTTCTTCGTGTATAAAATGAGCTGGAGAAGGAAATGGCAAACCACTCCAGTATCTTTGCTAAGAAAACCCCAAATGACAGTGGTAAAGAGTAGGACATGATGGAAAAACTGAACAACTACCACCACTCCACTGCAGAGTCCCAGGTTGAGCCTGATGGGATTAGGGTGGTTTTGTTCCCAAGTATTCCTGCCCTCTCCCAACTCAGAAATATCGCCAGTATAAGAAGACAGATATATGTGAGGAGTTCCCCCAGTCTTGTCTTTTTATCTCTTCAACACAGAGGGCACTGTGATCTCAGGACTGTTTCTCTTCCACCATAACATTTTATCATTGCAGTTATTAGTAAGGCTAAAGGCAACCTATGTCCCTCTCACCTCTCTCCATATGCACAAACACACACCGACAGAGCTTCTATGACCAGGACAAACAATGTCTGGGAAAACTGTTAATGTTCTCTCCCACCTCTAATGTTCATCGTGGCACCATGGTAGATAGAGTGCTGGACTTGGAGACAGAAAGATTTGAGTTCAAGTTCTGCTTTAGACACTTACTAGATGCGTGACTCCGGGCAAGTCACTGAACCCTTCCTGTCTTCAGTTTCCTAATCTATACAATGGGGGTAATAATAACAAAAGCTCCTGCTTCTCAGGGTTATTCTGAGAATCAAATGAGACAACTGTATGTAAAGCTCTTTGCAAACCTTAAAACACTATATGAACACTAACTATTGTTGTTATCTATACACTTCTTTCCACGTTTACTTCCCTCCCAAAGAACATAGAGTCCTGGAGGACAGGGATTGCCTTTCATTTTGTCTTTGTAATGGGGATAATTATAATTTCACACACACACACCCCTAATCTGATCTACCTCAAGTACACATACCTGTTTCTGGGCATGGCTATACTTAGCATTTCCATTAAAAAAGCTCCTTCAGAATACCGACACTAAAGAAATTACAGACTGTTGAAGGAATGGAATTTTAAAGATTTCTATGGTTTTCTATATTTTATGTTATATTTATCTTGTCATCAGCATTTATGTTATATTTATCTTATCAAAATATTTTAAAAAAAGCTTTGGTATAATAATAACAACAATAAAAAAAAAAGCTCCTTCAGTAATACATTACCACATCTTAGAATCCTTATCATGGAAAATTCTTCAGGTCTAACCTTAATGCCTATACATTTCAAATATAGGACTGATTGGTCCTAGAGTAAACCAGAGGATAGGTAATAGAACTACAGATCCATAGGAATAGAGCTTTACCTATTCTTCCAGGCATCCCGGGATCTCCTTTGTCTCCTAGGGATAGAAATTGATTCAGAACTAGGTAAGTAACCCAAAATGATAACCTCTTACAAGGGCCCAACTCAAGAGATTGGAAAAAAGGAACAGGACAGTTGATATTGGCTGTTTTCTGAATGGAACAAATAACTTGGCAATGGCCATTTTCTGGAGACAGTTAACCATAACAGGAATTGACTATGGACCTGCAGAGACTGTCCTTGACTACTGAGATAATCTGAGACACCACCCTGATGGGTCTTCCATTCAGAGTCTTCATTTCCACAGACTTAAACACAGCTTGCTTTCTGGAAGCCTGTTAGCAAGGTTAGATGCTGGTTGCTTAGTTTATCTTGTGCCTGAATCACTGGAGTAAGTTAAGGAGAAAAAAAAATGGGGTTCTGCTTGGCACAACTTGTTTCCTAGATTGCAAAGTTTTCCAAGGCTGGGTTTCGGGGAAGCCTGAAGCCTGGGGGTTTTGCTCTAGAGATCTACCAGTCATATGAGCCTCTGGGCCTAGAACAGGAAATTCCTATTTTTCCCATCAGAGAGAAGTTGGTTCCCTAGAATAGAAGAAAGCAATGAGGACATTAAAGAAATCTCCCTCACTACTGCTACTCAAGAAAAACACAGCCTGGAGGTGTCTACACTTCAAGTTATCTTAGGAGGACAACTGCTTTACCCCTTTATTTTTGCTGCACTATATTCATTTTGTGGTGATTTTCTGTCTGTGGAGGAAATCTACAGAGCCTGGAAATTTCTGACCTACTTCGCCTCTTCCCAGAATATCCCGATAAACACATTGAGGTTTTACCTGAAGATTATTTGTCTTCTATTCTCTTCCTCTTACCTTTGGGACCCTGTGTTCCTGACTCTCCTGGGCTCCCAGGGGGGGGCCTCTTTCCCCTATAAATACCAAAAAGACAAATGCTGAAAATTTCTCCCCAAAAGTACTGACTCCTCTAAGCTCCATTCCCTCCAACATGCCAAGGGGCTACCTACGCAGTCCAGTCCCTGAGGCTTTCATGCCAACTTTCCTATGTGGTCAGCAGCCCCCATAGACATTACTAGCTTTGTACTCTGGTCTGACAAGCAGTTGTGGCAAACCAAGCATCTGTCCTGAGGGGATTTCTGAAACTACTCACAAATCCACAGACCAAGGTTGTACTGCCTGTGAAAAATAGCAATTATATTACTGGCCTAAGAATAAACTTGAAAGGCCCAAATCCTATACTGGTTCTATTACCTTCTTTGAGATTCAGTAAAAAAAAAAAAAAGCCTGGATTTGAAGACAGAAGACTTGTGTACTGGTTCTGTCCCTTATGACCTTTGGCAAGTCACAAGCCTCAGTTTCCTCATCCATGAAATGGGGAAGTCTGATCACATGATCATTGATTTAGTTGGAAGGGACCTTTGAGTAAGAGTCCTTGATTCTTAAGTTTTGCTTTTCTGCAAGTCTCTTTTCTCACCCACCAAACATAAGGAAAGTATGTGCCGATAGCTTTTCCTTGGCTACTTTCTCCTCCTCCTCTTCCTCTTCCCTGCATCTGATCCCCTTCTTGTACAATGTCCTATACAAAGCCAGGTAGGGAAGATTTTGCCTTGGAACTGATGGGGTATGGGCCCAAAGTGAGACCTTTGTCCCAATTTGGGCCCCATTTGTCTATGGGCCCTAGAAAACCCTTGGACTGTCCTTGAATTCTCCCACTTGATCAAGGAGATCTCTGGCATTCCCCTGAGTCCATGATTCTGTCAATTGGCCTTTCATTTTAGCTACACCTGATCCCCCAATTCTGTTATCCTTGACCTACCCTGGCCCTCCATTGTCTTGCCTCCCTACGGCCCCAGGTTTGCTTCCCACCTTTGGTCCTATCTAGGCTCCATTACCTCATAGACTACTTAGCCACTCCTAGATCCTCCATTTCCCTGGAATTCTATTACCTCATAAACTACTTGGCCACTCCTAGATCCCTTCCACAGTCCTTCTGTATATAAGTTCCATCTTGTCTCCATTAAGATGCTCAGATTTTCACAATCTAGCCAATAGCTCACAGACTCTCAGATTTCTTAATAGTCTACCTAATATGGCAAATCTTCAATAAATCTTGTTTTTGGCTGAAAGAAGGCTTGGGTCAAATTCTTTCAGGCAGGATGCATGTGTCCTGATTTTGGGATTCCAGTACCCCTAACCTCTAGACCTCATCAGAACTACAGTAAAGCCCCAAGTTCAGGGTCAATAGAAGGCCAAATGTACAAAAATATCTTTAGCTGCTCTTTTCATAATAAAAGAACTGGAAACTAAGAAGGCACCTATCAATAGGAGAATAATATTTTATGCATTTAAAAATCTTTATTCTAAGAAAAGGCTTCAACAGACTGCCAAAGGGGTCCAGGACATGATAATATTGCACTATCAGAATCAATCGGGGCAGCTAGGTGGTACAGTGAATAGAACTCTGGCCTTGGAGTCAGGAGGACCTAAGTTCAAATCCAGCCTCAGACACTTAATACTAGCTGTGTGACCCTGGGCGAGTCACTTAACCCCCCCCCCCCTCACCTCACCAAAAATAATAATAATAATAATCAATGAATAAAAATTAATTAAGTACCTACTATGTGCCAGGCACTGAACTAAGTGCTAGAGATACAAAAAGAAACTAAAACAGTCCCTGCTCTCAAGGAGCTTACAATCTAGAGAAATATTTCAGGAAAAACCTGGGAAGGCTTATGTGAACTGATATAGGTAGCATGAGTAGAACTCCGAGAACAATTTATACAGCAACAACATCGTTGAACAACTTTGAAAGACTTATGACTCATCACGGTTCCAAAGAACCAATGATGAAGCAAGTTCCCCACCTCCTGATAGAGAGGTTAAGAGCCCAGGGTGCAGAACAAGATACATGTTTTTGGACATAGTGTAGGCAATTTGTTTTTCTTACCTGTGCTTATTTATTACAAGCTTTTTTTTTCTTCCTCAACTGTGAGAGGAGCGGGAGGTTAGTGGGAGGGAGAGAAAAATAAATGTTTATTCCTATAAAAAAAATAAATTTAATTTTAAAATAAAAGAGGAAAGGAGTTAAAAATAAACTGTGGCTTCCAAAGTAGGCATCCTGGGAAGATGGAGGAGTAGATCAGAAAATTCCAAGCTCTCCAGATTTCCCCCATGAATGAGATAAAATAGAGCCTCAGGGCAAACATAGATCTATAAAAGTAGAGGTGGGATGTGGTCATCCTGGGACAATCCAAGAAGATCTGAAGAAAAATTCCAGGAAGAGGTTTGGTGCATGAAGAGTAAACACCTCCAGGCTAGGTCCACTTAAACAGCAAGCTGTAAACCCTGGGGTTAGCTGGGTTGGGAGGCTGCCTCACCCAGCCAGTGGAACTTTTACCCAGAGACAATGAGGTGAGTTGAGTGTCTGACCTGGGGAAGATTGAGGGAACCTCTTCTGACAAGAAACACCTCACCCAGCGGCACTGCAGAGACCTGGTGGGGGCAAGAAGGAACCAGCACACACCTGGTGAGTGCAGAAGCAGTGGGGTGGGAAGCCTCTGCTGTGGGCACTTACAAGAGGCTTGAGGTCTTGGTTCCAGTTCCAGGCCAGAGGGGAGAATTGAAGGAGGATCTGAGGCCGGAGGTACTATCCCCCCCCACCCCAGGACTAAAGGTGATTACAAAAACTAAGCTGCTACAAATTTTAAAAAAATGAACGGGCAAAGGAGAAAGAATCCAACCATAGAGAATAACTACGGGAATGGAGAAGCCTGAGGCTCATCTTCAGAGGAGGATACTGAAGCAAAGAAACCATCTTCTGCCCCCCAAAGAGTGATGTCAAATAGTCACCCACCCAAAAAGAATTCATGTAAGAACTTTAAAAAGACTTTAAAAATCAAATAAGACTGAGGAAAAATTAAAATACATAAATAGGAACAATTCAAGAAAAACAAGATTATGAAAAGAAAGTCAACGAATTAGAAAAGGAGATCCAGAATCTTAAGGAAGAAAACAACTCCTTGAAAAATCAGAATTGGGCAAGGGTAAACCAGTGAAATTATAAGAGATCAAGAAACAACAAAACAAAATATAGAGAATGAAAAAATAGAAGAGAATGTAAAACATCTCATAAGAAAACAACTGATCTGGAGAACAGATTAAGACGAAAAGATATAAGAATAATGGGGGCACAACCTTTTAGACCACAACAGCCACACTAAAAGACCACAGGTCTTGGAACATTATATATAGAAAAGCAAAAGAACTGGGGTTCCAGCTGAAAATATCATACCCAGTAAAGCTAAGCATAATCCTGAATGGGGGGAAAAAATAGACATTTAATGAATTGTCAGACTTTCAGGATTTTGTTTTAAAAAAAAAAACTGAACTTAATAGAAGATTTGACATACAAGAGCTAAGAGATATGTAAAATACCAAAGACTAATTGATGAGGGCTGAGAGGTTGGGACCCCTCAAAAACCAAAGTACAAGATGGGTCATCTGGAATGAATTCACAAACTCAAGCAATCTTTAAGTCAAGTGGCAAAAAGTTTATTGTTATGCTTTTCAGCTGGCAAGGATTCTTAAGGAACCTGCAATCTTAAAAGAGTATAGCTAAAGTTTATATAATATAAAATAAGATAAAACATGTGTCAAATATGCTAACTAGGTGATTCAGGGTGGGATTAGGGAGTGGTTAAGGAGTGGTCAGTTCTTAAAGAGACATGCACTTCTTGTATCTACTGCACAGGCGTTTTACCCAGAGTTCACTGGGAAAAGCCCACAAGGGGGGCCATGTGGAGGTGTGGTTTTAGGCCTGCTACATCACTAAGTTAACTAGCAGTCAGGGACAACTGAGAGTTGTCCAGTCTGCCACCAATCAATGTCTTGTTTGACAAGATAGATGTAGGGAGTTTACATATGTCTTAAGTCTAGAATACAGATAATGAGGAGTCCAGGATGTAGATAATGAGGTAGGGCAGCAGTATAGATAGTCCAGTGGGTAAGAATATCTTTATGGTCTAGTGCAAAGCCAGTTTAAACTAATAATTCCTTCAGGTGCTGTTTGTAACTGCACCAAGGAGAGAGATAAGGGTCTTCTTGCTGGGGCCCACTCATGAGTAATTGCTAGGCACAGTGTCCTTGGGCTGGGGAGAAATTGTCAGAGATAGTGTTTCTGAGGCTAGAGAGAAATTGGGGTCCAAGGACAAGCACCCAAACATAAGTACCCAAGCACCCCATCATAATCACAAGGGACTAAATAAGGACAACATGTTTACGTTTTATGTATGTAAAGTAGGTTATATATGTCTAAGATTGTTACTAGTAATTGGGTAGTCCATAAAAAAAATTAGAGTAGACCTGAGTATGATATGATTTTTAAAAGTAAAACCATTTAGCAACAGCTGAAAAGAATAATCATCTTATATAAATGAGGTGCAAGAGGAAAAATAGACACAGAGGAATTACATTTGGGGGAGGGCTGGTAGTTCTGGAAATCTCCTTTCATCAGGAATGGGTTCAAGAGGGAACAATGCATATACATCTAGAAGAGTATAAAAGTCTTCTAAATTCAGAAAGAAATAAAACACTAAGCAAATGGGGGGGAGAGGATAAGGGAGGGATCTTTAGAGGGGAGGGTGAGGAAATGGATTAAAGAGGGTTATTAGAAAGGTGTTTAGATTAATGGGAATGGGAGGATAAGGAAGGGATTCTTGGAGAGGAAAAGGTTAAGTAATAGGAGGGCAAGGTAGAGGGTAGAAATAAAGCATAGGAGTCAGGAAGGATAGGAAAAAAGAGACATGCACAAACATAAAAATAAAGTTCAGGAGTAGAATTTGTCAGGTGAAAAGGAGTAGGGGTGGTAATCATGATCTCAGACAAAGTTAAGGCTAAAACAGATTTAATCAAAAGAAAAAAATAGGGAAACTATGTGTCAGCCATATTTATCAACGTTGTTTTGGACTATTTAAAACAACTAGGCAGTGTAACGTGGGAAGATTGCTGCGGTGTAGGGAATGATGAGTTGGTGGACTTGGAAAAATATGGAAAGACTTAGACTTATGAAGGAAGAGGTAATCCACTCTCAGAGAAACAGATGATAAATAAGTACAGTACAATATTACATAGATGCATATGAATATATTTATCTATATATTACTATGATTATCAATATCTAAGTATATGTATGTATAAGTGTATGTACAGGTATACATATATATGTATATCTGTGTGCATATGTCTATGTATGTATATATATGTATGTATGTATCTGTATATATATCTGCATATATGTGTGTATGCATCTGCACTTAACTGTGGGGGGGAAGAGAGGAAAGGGGAAAAAAGAACAAAGTAAAAAGTGCACAGTAGATAACAAAGGAAAACTTACAAGGAAGCAAAGAAAAGGACCACTCTCAACACAATACATAGTATTTATTATGTAAGTTTTCTTGAAATGGAAATTTGTTGCTATGTATTTTGAATCCTCTCTCACATTCTGCTGTACACACGGCAATGCTTTTTTTTCTTTTCTTATTTTGTATTATTTTAGTTTTAGTTTTTGGTTTTTTGTTTATTTCTTGGTGAGGCAATTGGGATTAAGTGACTTGCCCAGGGTCACACAGACTAGTGAGTATCATGTGCCTGAAGCCAGATTTGAACTCAGGTCCTCCTGTCTCCAGGATCAGTGCTCTATCCACTGTGCCACCTTCAGCAGACATTTCTTAACTTGGGCATACAGTGGTGTAAAGTCATTGTCTTACACCTCCATCGTTTATTTTTGAGTACCAATGAAAATAGCAGGGAAAAAGAAAAAAGTCATTATAATTTTAATATGTACTTCATGAAGACTATTCTG